AGTGGTGGTGCGGATTCGGTACGGCAGTGGCATTGCGGATTCAGTACGGCAGTGGCATTGCGGATTCAGTACGGCAGTGGTGGTGCGGATTCAGTACGGCAGTGGCATTGCGGATTCAGTACGGCAGTGGCGGTGCGGATTCGGTACAGTGGGCAGTGGCGGTGCGGATTCAGTACGGCAGTGGCGGTGCGGATTCGGTACGGCAGTGGCGGTGCAGATTCAGTACGGCAGTGGCGGTGTGGATTCGGTACGGCAGTGGCATTGCGGATTCAGTACAGCAGTGGCGGTGCAGATTCAGTGCGGCAGTGGCGGTGCGGATTCGGTACGGCAGTGGCGGTGCGGATTCAGTACGGCAGTGGCGGTGCGGATTCGGTACGGCAGTGGCGGTGCAGATTCAGTACGGCAGTGGCGGTGCGGATTCGGTACGACAGTGGCATTGCGGATTCCGTACGGCAGTGGCAGTGCGGATTCAGTACGGCAGTGGCGGTGAGGATTCAGTACGGCAGTGGTGGTGGTGCGGATTCGGTACGGCAGTGGCGGTGCGGATTCGGTACGGCAGCAGTGCGGGCGGTGCGGATTCGGTACGGCAGTGGCGGTGCGGATTCAGTGCGGTTTTAAAAAAAGTGACGTCCTAAGTAGAGTGCCTTTAGTTCTGCTTGAGCCCGGGTTCACACTCATGCGGTGCGGTCTATGGCATGTGATTCGCACAGGAACCGCACCACATTCCCTGCCAATCACATGCGATTTGTGTGCGGTGCGATCGGAGCCGTACCTTTGTGGATCTAATCGCACCGCACCCGCACCAAAAAAGGTGCAGCACCCTTTTTTGGGTCCGCACTAGAATCGGATCAGACGGGTATGCACACCTATGAGATCCGATTCTGCACATCGCACCGCGTTTTCCGGACCGCTTTCTGAGTGTTGTTAACATACACACCCGCAGCGGTTTGCATGAACGGGGTGCGATTCTGATGCGGTGCGGAATTCGCACAGAAAACGCTGCAAATTCTGCACCGCATCAGTGTGAACCCGGGCTGAATCACACAGGAATGCGCACTGCATTCTGTGCGATTCCTGCAAGTTCCCATTCGGTGGAAATTTGCAGCTCAATTATTTGAATGGGCTGCAAACTGTACCAGACTGCACAAAAAAAAGTAGCGCATGTGCCACTTTTAAAAAACGTGCTGCGGTACCATGTGATTAAGCCCCCAGTCACATCAAAACCGATTTTGAAATCATGCGATTTACAGTGAAGTCGCACGATTTCAAAGTCGGGGACCCGCTGATTTCAGTTGTGATTTCCAAGACATCTGACACAAATGGCTATGCAAATCGCAACAAAAGTATTGCATGCAGGGGCGGACTGACCATTCGAGCACTCGCACTCCCCAAGGGCCCGGGCACTCCCCAAGGGCCCGGGGTCAGAAGGGGGCCCCATAAAATGCCCCTGGTACCTTTTATAGGCTTTTTTTGGGTGTGTTGTGAGTGTGGGCAAGGACACAGGGGCCCCATGATCCCCAATTGCCCGGGGGCCCCATGAGTTGTCAGTCCGCCCCTGATTGCATGTACTACTTTAGAAATCAGTATGGCTCCGCCCAAGTCAGAACCGCGCCGATATGTGTCGGATGTCTTGCAAATCGCACCTGAAATCGGCATGTCACCCGACTTTGAAATCGTGCGACTTCACTGTAAGTCGCTCGATTTCAAAGTCGGTTTTGATGTGACCGGGGTGTAAGGGTGATATTGGTAACTTTGAGTTATGCATGCCATAGAGGGGTCGTTTATTGGCCGAATTTTCGTCCGCACGAAAAATCGGCCGATAATCACGCCGTTAGTGGGGCCAGCCCGGCAGCCGTTTTTCGCGGATCTCATTTATTTTTATCGGTCATGCTGGGAAATCGGCGAAAAACAGCCGTTTTTCGTGGACATGGGTGGCATCATCGGCAACGACCAATTTTTCGTTTATCAGCCGAAAATTCGGCCCATCTATGGCCTGCCTAAGGGTGATATTTATAACTTTGAGTTACTTTGTATCTCTTTGTATCTCTTTGTATCTCTTTGTATGTATGATTTGTGAGCCCCGCATAGCAGATACGTACATTGTGACTAACAGACATGACAGTGACCCACGCCGAGCAGCTACAGCTCAGGCTGGATTTTGGAAAAGAGGGTTTGACCATCGAGTCTCAGGCAGAAAAAGGACCCCCCGAGGCATTTGGAAAGGGAACAATGAGAACCGTCCGGACGGGTCGCTGCGCCTTGTGTTGTGGGATTAGACAACTGCGCCAAGAATCTGCTTCGGTCAGCGGGATTAAGGGAAGAGGTGGGAGACCGACAGACGAGGGGGGGCTGAGGAATCAGCAGACTATAAAAAAAAATGATTTTAAGCTGTTATGCAGCCATAGATGCTTTGAAAATCAGCTGTTTTTTCGTCCAAAAATAAAATTTTCGCACAGTTAATGGGTTAATTGGTCACATTTTTTTAATCGGTAAACTTGGGAAAAAATCGGCCGATTTTGCCAATCGGCGCGATTTTCGCGGCATTGATGGGCAAATTAGCTGATCTTTTTACCGATAAATAATCTGCGCATGAGCCGTGACCTGCAAGAAGAAGAAAAAGAAGAAAAAGAGAAAAAGAAGAAGAATTCCAGTCCGCTATTATATTTTATATGAAAAGTATTGCGGTTGCAACAAATGTATCCATTTGTATCCGAATAAAAACATCTGTATCCGAAATGGATACAAATGGATACAAATGGATACATTGTTGCAACCATAATCCTTTTTCATGTCAAATATAATAGCGGAGCTCTCTGCAGGGAAAGAAGTAATTAAATGCCGGCCGTAGACGGGACGAAAATCGGACGTTTTTTTTTTTTACCGTTGGTGGTAACGTTGGCCTATTGAACGACCGATTTTTTTTTTTTTTTTTTAAAACGGACGGTTTTCGAACCATCTATGGCCTGCATTAGGCAGGCCATAGACGGCCATTTTTCGACCGAATTATCGTCTGATAAGCGATAAATCGGTCGTTGCCATTGCCGATGCTGCCAGTGCCACCCATGTCCACGAAAAATGGCCGTTTTTTTTTGTGGATTTTCCAGCATTACCGATAAAAATAAATGAGAAGATCCGCAAAAAAAAAAAACGGCCGACGGGCCGGCCCCACTAATGGCGTGAATATCGGCCGATTTTTTGTGCGGACGAAAATTCAGCCAATAAACAACTTGTCTATAGCCTGCATTAGGAGCAGAGCCTCTGATTCCTCCTGCATTGAACTGTCTTGTAACTGTTCTGTCTCCCTTGGGGCCGGTTCACACCACAGAAATGCAGTCCAGATGTGTTCTGGATGTGTTATTGCGTTCGCGTTTTTTGACACAATTTTGTCGCGTTCCGGTGCATTTTTCGTGTTCCAATGCATTTTTTATGCATTTCAGTTCATTTTTCCCCTCTCTTTTTCTTCAGTTTAAATAGAGACGTAGATTCCAGTGAATGTTTGAGGCGTTCTGGTGCGTTCCGGGCATTTTTGATGCGTTCCAGTTAATTAATTAATTTATTTCAGGTACTATATACATTCCAGTGAATTTTTTTATACGTTTTGGTGCATTCTGGTGCTTTTTTTTTTATGCATTTCAGTTCATTTACCCCCCTCCCCCTTTTTTCTTCAATTTAAATAGGGACATGTGCATTCCAGTGCATTTTTGATGCGTTGTGGTGCGTTTTTGATGCAATCCAGTAAACTTTTTCCCCATTTTTCTTCAATTTAAATAGGCACACGTGCATTTGAGTACATTTTTAATGCGTTGTGCTGCAATCCGGTGCATTTGTTTTGCGTTTTACCGCTTTCCAGTTCAGTTCTGTGCAGAAAAAAGTGCAGCCTGTTCTACTTTTTTTCTGCATCCGGAACTCACTGGAACTGCAAGCCCTGATGTGAACTTTGACATTGACAACCGTCTAACCTACTTTCTGTGCGTTTTGGATGCAGAAAAAAAAGCAACTGAAATGCATGGAGTGTGAACCGGCCCTTAACAGTGTAACGTGCTGAGCACACTACCGGCGTGATATAAATCCTGAAGAATAATATTCTGTTCTGCCGGCTGATGTGTGTTGAAGTCTTCCTGGCAGTGAAGGGGTTAGCCCAGCGCCTGGTGGTCTGACAGGTAATTATGTCAGGAGCATGTGATTGCGGTAACCAGGGGCCCCTGAGTGTGTGTGTCGCCTCACGTACGCTCCTACGTAGAATGTGCGGGGATCACGCCCCCCCCCCCCCCGCCGTCTGCACGTAGCGACAGGAAATAAGGAGGGGAGGGGCACGGCGAGCGCAGTGGACGTCGCCCATGATGTCATAAGGAGGAAAGTGTAGTAACCCAGAACAGCCAATCAGAAATCATCTCTCAGACTACGCTCTGTGGTCAAGGGTAACATGCGACTGCTGCACTTGACACGCGGTCCTCACCCTTTGCAACGTCCTATTAATGGTAAAGTCTTGGGCCGTAAAATTTGTGAAAAACGACCGATTTTTGACCCAATGATGGTCAAATCGCACAAACGTTTTTCCGAAAAGAATATGTGTCATGAGCCGTGACCTGGAAGGAACAGAAGTTTTGCCTGTTATATGGGATGAACTTCATGACTCGGTCGGCCGATTTTCGAAATCAATGATGGGCCATCGGATTACCGAGTGAACAACGTTTTCAATTTTCAGACGAAAAAATCATTCGGAATTCGACCCGTGTATGGCCTGCATTGTACTGAATTACCCCAGATTCACACCTATGCTTTTTTCGGCAGCATTTTGCAGAAACGCACAGCAGTCCATTTAACATGATTTTCTATGGGACAGGTTCATGTCTCCGCATTTTCACCCAGTGCGATTTTTGGAAAGGGTCAGGGATTTTTTCATCGCAAAGAGACTGGATATAGTGAATACGGGGTCCGGGGAGAGCGGATATAGTGAATGCAGGGTCCGGGGAGAGCGGATATAGTGAATGCGGGGTCCGGGGAGACCGGATATAGTGAATGCAGGGTCTGGGGAGACCAGATATAGTGAATGCAGGGTCCGGGGAGAGCGGATATAGTGAATGCAGGGTCCGGGGAGACCAGATATAGTGAATGCAGGGTCCGGGGAGACCAGATATAGTGAATGCAGGGTCCGGGGAGAGCGGATATAGTGAATGCGGGGTCCGGGGAGACCAGATATAGTGAATGCAGGGTCCGGGGAGAGCGGATATAGTGAATGCGGGGTCGGGGAGAGCGGATATAGTGAATGCAGGGTCCGGGGGGAGAGCGGATATAGTGAATGCAGGGTCCGGGGAGGGGAGAGCGGATATAGTGAATTCAGGGTCCGGGGAGAGCGGATATAGTGAATGCAGGGTCCGGGGAGACCAGATATAGTGAATGCAGGGTCGGGGAGAGCGGATATAGTGAATGCGGGGTTCGGGGAGAGCGGATATAGTGAATGCAGGGTCCGGGGAGAGCGGATATAGTGAATGCAGGGTCCGGGAGAGGGATATAGTGAATGCAGGGTCCGGGGAGACCAGATATAGCGGATACAGTGAATGCGGGGTCCGGGGAGACCAGATATAGTGAATGCAGGGTCGGGGAGAGCAGATACAGTGAATGCGGGGTCCGGGGAGACCAGATATAGTGAATGCAGGGTCTGGGGAGACCAGATATAGTGAATGCAGGGTCTGGGGAGACCAGATATAGTGAATGCAGGGTCCGGGGAGAGCAGATATAGTGAATGCGGGGTCCGGGGAGAGCGGATATAGTGAATGCGGGGTCCGGCGAGACCAGATATAGTGAATGCAGGGTCCGAGGAGAGCAGATATAGTGAATGCAGGGTCCGGAGAGCGGATATAGTGAATGCGGGGTCCGGGGAGAGTGGGGGAGAGCGCGGATATAGTGTGAATGCGGGGAATGCAGGGTCCGGGGAGAGCGGATATAGTGAATGCGGGGTCCGGGGAGAGCGGATATAGTGAATGCGGGGTCCGGAGAGCAGGGTGCCGGGGAGAGCGGATATAGTGAATGCGGGGTCTGGGGAGAGCGGATATAGTGAATGCAGGGTCCGGGGAGAGCGGATATAGTGAATGCAGGGTCCGGGGAGACCAGATATAGTGAATGCAGGGTCCGGGGAGAGCAGATATAGTGAATGCGGGGTCCGGGGAGAGCGGATACAGTGAATGCGGGATCCGGGGAGAGCGGATATAGTGAATGCAGGGTCCGGGGAGAGTGGATATAGTGAATGCAGGGTCCGGGGAGAGTGGATATAGTGAATGCGGGATCCGGGAGAGCGGATATAGTGAATGCGGGGTCCGGGGAGAGCGGATATAGTGAATGCGGGATCGGGGGAGCGGATATAGTGAATGCGGATCCGGGAGAGCGGATATAGTGAATGCAGGGTCCGGGGAGAGCGGATATAGTGAATGCGGAGTCCAGGGGAAGACTACTGAGAACATCCACCATATAAGTGGGAGGTGGTGAGCTGTAGACAAGGTGTAGGTGAATACTGCAATCTCTCTAGTGCTCCTGGGCACCTCTGTTTTCATGTAACATGAAAGTGTATATAGGCCCCATTCACACCTGCGCAATTTGCTTTTTGTCCATTTGTTTGTTTGTTTTGAATTTTTGACACTTGTTTTAATGCATTTCTTATGTGTTTTTTACCTCATTCAGCTTTTTTTTTTTTTTTTTTTTTAAGTGGAATTGTTTTTCTTCTGGGCAGAATAAAAAATGCAAAGCGCAAAATGCGGCAAAAACGCACTACCATGCATGTCAGCAGATTTTCCATTGAACTCTATTGTAGAAAAAACACATCTTTTAGCGTTTAAAAAAGTCCCCGACCCTTTCCAAAAAAACGCAGCAGCTCAAAAAAGCATCGATGTGAATGTGCCCCATAGGAAACCATGTTAAATGGACTGTAGAGCGTTTCTGCAAAAAGCACTATAAATCGCATTGGCGGGAACTCCGCTTTAACTTGCCAGAGGTTGTAATCCTTCCCAGCTCCATCCAAAACCAACAAAAAAGAATAATTTTGTCTGAAGTGGGGATTTTAGATGTCAGTTTGATAACAAATTATATGATAGAAGCCCCGGGAGCGGCGGGATGTGATCTGAAGGGCGCAGTTGGTTTAGCACCCAGCCCAGGTGTCTGGCCAGTCGCCCGTTGGTCCCGCCTGTTGGTCCCGCTCGCTTGCTCACCCCACATAACTGGTCAATGCAAACACAAGCAGTGTGAACAATTGGGGGTGGGGGCAGGGGGGGGGCAATGTTTAATGGGCTCACTCCCTGGAATCAACAGATTCGGTGTTATGATATTAACCCTCTGGGGACCGCCAAGTCCCATTTGTAGAATCCGATCATTCAAGATGAATTAAAAAAATATGAAAATGTTAGATTTAAAAATGACCTGAGAATGTTCTTCTCCCATCATTCACCTTCCAGTTGCTGATGTCCAGTTACAAAATATATGAAACATTTTTTTTTTTTAAATTTCAAATATACTGTACATCTTTAAAAATACAAATTTACATGTTTGTTATGCATTTACAAATATATGTAAAAATATATGTTAAAATTACTTTTTTTTTATATGTAAAAAAATTCTGAGGAATATATTAAAAAATATATTTTATTTTACAAATATTTTTCATATATTTTGTAATATATAAAAAATGCATTTCAACATGCAGTATATATATATATATATATATAATATATATATATATATATATATTTCTTTAAATATATTGAATATGGCCAAAATTGTAGCATTTAGAATATATGTCAGTTTATTTGGGAAGAATATATTTCAAATATATTTTTCTTCCATGTGGGTTACCATGCAGGTCAATGCGTCTCAACACACTATAAAACATATGTAAAAATATATGTTAAAATTACTTTTTTTTATATGTTAAAAAAATTCTGAAGAATATATTAAAAAAATATATTTTTTTTACAAATACTTTTTCATATATTTTGTAATATATAAAAATGCATTTCAACATGGTGTATATATATATATATATATATATATATATATATATATATATATATATTTCTTTAAATATATTGAATACGGCCAAAATTGTAGCATTTCGACTAGTTGTCAATTTATTTGGGAAGAATATATTTCAAATATATTTCATTCAAATATATTTTTTTCTTCCATGTGGGTTACCATGCAGGTCAATGCGTCTCAACACACTGCTGCACTATAGAATTGTATAAGCAAATTTAAAAAAGCAAGAACTCCAACGCACCGCAACGCACGGCACCGCATGTTCACATTACACCCCAGAGCACATGACCCGTGTGGGTGAGTCTGCATCCCATAAAAAATGCAAGCCACTTGTTGCAGCATCAGCCTTTCCCTGAACTGATCACATTGTCAGTATGATAAGGAGGTTCAGGAGAACGGCCAATGGGGCAACCAGACGGGTATGTAAAATAAACACAACAAGCGAGATTTAACCCCTTGCCCTCCAGAGGATTCACCCCCCCTCCTGACCAAGCCATTTTTTGCGATATGGTGCGTCATTACTTTAACTGACAATTGCGCAGTCATGCAATGCTGCACCCAAATGAAATTTACGTCCTTTCCTCACAATAGAGGTTTCTTTCGGTGGTATTTGATCGCCTGTGTGTTTTTAATTTTCTGCGCTATAAACAAAAAAAGACCAACAATTTAAAAAAAAAAAACCCAGTATTTTTGACTTTTTTCTTTTAAAGATGTCCAGTAAAAAAAAATACAAAAAAATCACATTTCGTCATAAATTTAGGCCAAAATGTATTCTGCTCCGTGTCTTTGCTAAAAAAAAAATCCTAATACGTGTGTAAATTAATTGGTTTACGTGAACAGGGGCGGACTGACCATTTCGGAAACTCGGGCACTGCCAGAGGGCCCGGGGTCAGTAGGGGGCCCCATGAAATTTCACTGGTACCTTTTTAAATGCTTTTTTGGGTGTGCTTTGAGTGTGGGCAAGGACACAGGGGCCCCATGATCCCCTATTGCCCGGGGGCCCCATGAGTGGTCAGTCCGCCCCTGTACGTGAACGTTATAGCGTCTACAAATGGCGATATAAATACTGGAATTTTTTTTTTTTTACTAGGAATGGCGGCGATCAGCGACTTATAGCGGGACTGCAGGACTACAATGGGCATTCTGACACTGGGGGGAACTGACTTGGTGTCACTGACATCCCCAATGACACCAATACAGTGATCGGTGCTAATAAAAAGAACTGACACTGTACTAATGGCACTGGGAAGAAAGGGGTTAACATCTGGGGTGATCAGACCCACATGGAAGAAAAATTATTTGAAAAATATTTTAAAAATATTCCCTAATATATTTACATATATTTGAAATACTAAACTTTGGCCATATTCAATATATTTCAAAATATATTTCAATAAATATATATATATAATACATGTATGTTAAAATGTCTTTTTATTATAAAAATCTCTGAAAAATATTTTTGAAAATATACTGTATGTCTTTAAAAATGCATTCAATCTACATTTTTTTAATGCATTTACAAATATATGTAAAAGTATATGTTAAAATGACTTTTTTATATGTTAAAAAAATCTGAAGAATACATTTGAAAAAAAATATATATATTTTTAAAATAAAATTTTATATTTTGTTCATATATATTTATATATATTTATATATAAAAAACACATTTCACCATGCAGAGAATATATATATATGTATTCCAATGAGCAGGGCGCTCCGCCTATCCTCTTGTATTGAACTGTATTGTTGCTGTATTGTCTCCCTTTATATTGTAAAGTGCTGAGCAAACTATATAAATCCTGTATAATAATATTAGTAATAATGTTGACATATATTGAATATGGCCAAAATTGTAGTATTTCAAATATATTTTTCTTCCATGTGGGAAGGGTTAACTGTGTACTGTTTCAGTGTGTGCTGTGTGTGTGCTTTACACTGTAAGCACACTGCTTTGTATAGCTGTGCTATGCAGAGCCATACAAAGCAGTGTGCAGGAGCTGACAGGAGAGAGCTCTGTATTGTTTATACACAGGTCTCTCCCCTGTTGGAGATACTTGGCGATCACTGGGTGCCAGCAAGGAATCAACCGGCCAGAACTCGATGATTGACAGCCGAGGCCGCAAATGGCAGCGTGCAGGCGCCTCCTACCCAGAACTGTAAAATCACGTATATATATCTGATTTTGCGTGGCCATGCCGCCCTGTAGCAGTACTTCTGCTATACAGCGGCACGGAAGCGGTTAAAGGAAATCTACCGGGAATTTTCGATACGCACTCACTGCGGTTGGTTCAACTCAATGGAAAGAAAACCAGTGCACAATTGGAGCTGCTTCCCAGCCAATCAGATTTTGCCCCTCATTTTGTGTTTGTTTGACGTGCGTTGCTTTAAGGCAGCCTATTGAGGGTAGTAGGCTGCCAACACACCAAAATTTCCCAAAAATCATCACAAACTTTATAATGCAATGCACCACAAGA